TGGCCACCACCACTATCATCACCACCATCACCACCATCACCACCACCATCACCTCCACCACCACCGCCATCATCACCACCCAGCATCACCTCCATCACCATGACCACCTCAACCACCATCACCAACATCATCACCACCATCACCATAACCGCCTCCACCACCACCATCATCACCACCACCACCACCATCACCACCAAACAGAATAAAGATTTTCTTTTAATGGGGGGTGGGAGGGAGAGAAAATCCAAATGCTCTGCATACAGCTTTGACCATAGGAAACTTTTTAATAAATTCAGGCTTTGAACTCTCTCTAGAAATTTGTATTCTAACGCTTTGTTTCCGCCATGCTTGCCGATCAAGACAGGCATCACTGTCCTTCACGTAATCATTTTCTCATTCTTCGTATGGCAACATTTCTTAAGCATCTTATGTGCCAGACATTTTTGTCAGATGTGGGGATAGATCAGTGATCAACTAGACATGGAATTATGTTCAATAAAGGGGACACAGAGAAAGACTATAAAATGTAGGCAGGCACTCATCACCACCAGGGTGCTCACGGAAGGCCTCTCCCGGAAGCTGAAATTTCAGCTGACTTGAGTGCCCCTGGTGGCTGGCTTGCTGAAGCCAGAGCAAAGAGCATCTCAGGCCTGCTGGCCGCTGGGGCAGAGCCCGGGGGTGGGAGCAGGCTTTGCAGGTTTGTGTGTGGGGCACAGAAAGACCGTTGTGTACCAGGAACAGAGGAAGGCTGGATGTCGTGAGGGGAGTGTGCAAGATGAGCTTGGGCAGGAATAGGGGCCTGGTCACATTAGCCTGTTTTCATTTTGGTGGCAGTGTTTCCAGATACACAAACAAGCCAACCTCAGAATTCTTTCCGTTGAAGGAATTATAGCAGCTTCTGAGCGCTTGACTTTTGCACTTCCTTTTCCAGTGTCAGGCTTGCCCCTTAGGGATTTTCGTTTGTTTCTCCTTCGCCCCTCGAAGCTCCCCGAGGGCAGAGACCCACCTGTTGTGCAACGCTGACTGCTCCCTCCCCAGCAGCGTGAATCCATGCTCAATGGATATTTGAGTGAGGCGGGGGGATATGTCCCCCATATGTACAAGGAGGAGTACACATAGATTTTTTTAAAGACTTACTGAGGTGATCTGGTTATTTTCATAGGGAACATCTGGGATGCGCTTTCCATGGCTGCCTCTTGCTGGCATTTTACTCTTAGCTGAAATGTCCCATTTTCACACGGGTGTTCTCTGACTGCTGATTAGAGAGTAAACCTTTGCCCTAGTTGCTTGAAGAAAATCATATGAACTTATCACCATCTGAAATCATCTTGTTTACTTATTCCATAAGTGTGAGCTTCTTAAGGGCAGAGACTGTCTCTATGCTGTAAGTTTCTGCCCCAGGCCTAGGTGGTGCCAGGCTCTTAGTAGGTGCTCAGAAAATGTGTGTTGAGGGAACGGGTTTGATTTAAGAGTTTCAGGGCATTATTTGTTCAAATCCAAATCCTGTAGTCAAATCATCAGTATGGTGTTTCTAGTAAACTCTCCAAACAGCAAACGTATTTCCAGAGAAAGTTAAACATTTATCTTGAACTTGAATGACATGGGCCAAGAAGAGCCAGCAATCAGCATTTTTAAGCCTTTAGACTTATTCTTTTTTCTCACTGCTAATTTCTGCAGGAATAAATAGATGCTCGCTGAAGAGCCCCCTCAGTCAGGAGGGTGGGGATGAAAGCTCAAATTATTTTCTTATTAATGTACAAAACTCCAAAAGTCTTTGCAGTCTGTATGCATTAACATTTGTTTTAATTGTAAAATTATTCTAAAAAGAAAAGTGATACTAAAAATATTAAGGAGTGTTAGACATAGCACTTTAAAAGCTGAAACTGAGGGCTTCCCAGGTGGCGCACTGGTTGAGAGTCCGCCTGCCGATGCAGGGGAGACGGGTTCGTGCCCCGGTCTGGGAGGATCCCACATGCCGCGGAGCGGCTGGGCCAGTGAGCCATGGCCGCTGAGCCTGCGCGTCCGGAGCCTGTGCTCCGCAACGGGAGAGGCCACAACAGCGAGAGGCCCGCGTACCGCAAAAAAAAAAAAAAAAAAAAAAAAAAAAGCTGAAACTGAGCCTAGGTATAATTTAACCGAAAGTCACACATTTTACAACTGTGGCACCAACTGGAGAATTTCTCTACCTGGCTCACGAAGCTGGGACCCACCCCACGTAACTCTCATGCAGAAGCGCTTCGGTGCCCTGGAGGTACCAGTCTCCTTAGCAAAGGTAGGGAAACAGCTGGGCACACTTCACGCAGCCCTGGCGATGGGGACGTGCACCAGGGCCCCAGCACCACTCCACGTTGCACTGCCTTGAAGACCATGGCCCAGCCCTGTCACACGCACTAAGTGGTGATTGAATCCACCCTTTTCTTGTGAAAATGGCAATAGGTTACAAGCCACAATTAGGCCTCTTGCATTTGAGAGTTGTAGCTGTATTGTTTCCTAGAATATCTGATTGACAACATAATACCACAGTACTTTTACATAGAAACCTTACCACATGATATTAAAATATTTTTGAGGAAATGCTGGAGAGCACTAAGCCAGTCCTTTAGATTATATTTCGTAAAAATTATTATTCAGCATCTTATAGTAGGGATAAAGGGAACATCCTCCTTGGGTTTTTATTATTTTAATTTTTTGCCTTTTTCATGTCTCTATTACAAGTTCTTGGTTCTTTTCATAACTAATCAGAATTAATGACCTCTCAGTACTCTGAAATGTCTTACCTAGTCCACCTTTTCCAAGAATTATCAGAGAGAGTGAGTAACCAGCATTTACTGTATGGGGTGCTGGGGTAAGTGCTTTACACGTATTTTTACACGTATTGATTTGTTTAATCCTCACAGGAACCATGTGAAATAGGTCGGTGGTTTTCAAAGTGTTCTTTTGTCTGCAACCGATGCTAATGCATTTCATCATGATCCAGGAACAAACATCTTTATATATAACAAACAAAAGTGTCACCAATTAATGTTAACGCTGCAACCTACTCTATTTTCTTTTCTGCTCCTTTTTTAAAATACCAGTTTTGATCCGCTAAAGACTTCGTAGCCCACTAGCAGGGTGGTGCAGCTCTCACAAAAAGGTGCGGTGTGGTCCTTTTTTGCCCCCCATTTCACGGATGAGAAAGCTGACAGGTTAAGTGGACTGCCCAAGTGTCCCAGCCGGTGAGTGGCAGAGCTGGGATTTGAACAAGAGCATGGGTCTTACTTGGTTTACTAAACTGAATCATGCAGCAATACCACTTCCAGAAGGAAGTGGTCCTCAGGGTCATCGCCATCTTGCTTCTGTGATCAGGGGGAAAAAAATGTACTTATAATACAAGTACTGTAACTCACCTCTGTCCTCCACCTGCCAAGAAGGAGCTGATATGCCCAGCATAAGATAGGGAGAGAGACGGGACCCTGAAGATTTGGGACTAGGGGGTGAGGATTTTCTGGTCTTATAAGGGATTTTGAAAACTTGGGGGTGAGGCAGACATGTCTAATTAGGATTTTTTTTATTAAGTAGTACTGTGTGACTTTGAGGAAAAACTCTCTTCTATCTCCCTTCAAAATCCTCAGTAAAATTACCTACTCGCTGATATTTGAAACCAGGATTTGATTTTGGAGGTTGAAGTCCAGCCTCAAGGCTGAAACCAAACCACCTGGTAACACTTCAGTGCAGAAATGCCGTATGCTCAGCCAACATTTATTAATTGTCCGTTGTGTCTCAGGCGCTGTCCTGGGTACAAGGAATCACAGATGAATAAGGTCTCCTGGACACATTTCCTGTACATGTTGACTGGATCAGAAGAAAAGCATCTTGTAGATGCTCACAGCACCTCTGCGGTGGACAGAAGGAAGCCTGAGTTGTTAGCATCTCACCTTGTGGCTGGGGGTTCCCTGGTCTCACAGCTGTTCAGCTCCGTGTGGGATCCCTGTGCGCTGAACAGCGCCTGGCACGTTGTAGACACTTGACTCGCAGCCAGGCAAGTCAAGGATTTCAGAACTCATGTCGGGGACTCAGCTTATTTCCATCTGCCTGTAAAAGTATGAATAAAAGTACGACAGTTCACGTGGAGAAGCTGCCTTCCGAGGGGTGTCCATGAGCATGGTATACCGCACTTCCTGAAGTCAGCCCGGTGCCCTGTGTTCCGCCTGTGCAAACATCAGCCAGCCGACTGGCACATTCCACTCCTTTCTGCCCCCGACCGAGTAACATTTCAGTGTCCTGATTCCTTAACCCTGGGGGGTAGAGGGAAAAACATCTGTTTCCTCCCTCTGTTCTTCCAAACCCACAGAGCTCCTCCAAGCAGCCGGGGTTTGAAAGAAGCCCTTTGCCTGCCCTGACGGGGACCGGTGGGGCTGTGCGTCGGCCACACCTAGGGACGCACTGTGACGGAGGCCGCAGAGAGGCTGAGGGCAGCCGAGTCATCCAAGCAGAAAGCACGTCTGGGAGCAGATGTGCCTCCTGCAGAGCCGAGGGAGTCGTGAGGGGCGGGAAGTGCCGTGTATCTGGAGATGGCGGCGGGAGAGGGTGCTTTGCGGGGCAAGTACTCTTCTGCCTGGATTTCACCTCGACACACAGGGGGACCAAGCAGTCAAGGGGGGACACGCGCGTGAGTCGGCTCCGTGTGCGGCACTGGCTCCCGGGCAGCAGTAGCAGTCCTTCCGTGGACTCTTCGTTGTATCCGAAATCTGCAGGCTGCCCTCTGGATGAGTAATGTTTGTTTACGTTTGGAATGTGGGGCTGGTGCCTGGTCACCGATGCCCTTGCCGTGTCGGCGACCCCTGTTTGTTTTAAAGGGTGTTTTCCTGGCTGTACCGCAGCCTGAGAGGGCTCCCCCTGCTGGCTGTGGCCGGTAGAACCTGAACGGTTAGGTCCCGGGGCTTGTATGGATATTTTTCGCGTAGGTGCACGTGGGCTCCTGGAGCCCAGCTCTCAACTTCCCAATCTTCTTCCCGCAGCTTCCCTGAGCAGCCTTCTGATCACACCGTTCCCGTCTCCAAGCTCCTCTGCGTCCTCCTCCAGCAGTTACCAGCGCCGCTGGCTTCGGAGCCAGACCACGAGCTTGGAAAACGGCATCATTCCCAGGAGGTGAGCTGGGTTCCCCTGGCCGTGCAGGGCACTGGGGCGGGCAGCCCGGCGATGCTGGCGGACACTGCACTCACTTGCTGTCGGCACAAATGGGCCGGAGCTTTCCGCTCGGCTTCGGCTCAGTCTGGAAGTTCACAGGTGAGAGGTTCCGGGAAAGACACTGGGACTATGTGGGTAGATTTGGCATTGATTTAAAGTGAGTGCGTGCTCTCTTTGCATTGGGTCCCTTCCAGGTGTATCCTTTGTAAGTTAGAAGGCTGGAATAAATCTTCCCTTGGCTTACGGTGACACCAGCGTGGTCTTTGAAAATATATGAACTCGAGGATGGTTAATTTTTGGTGAAACAAATTCTTAAACAGTCAACAGTCCGATTATGAATAGAGATGACAGCATCGAGATACTCTCTGCCTTCGTTTCAGTTGGTTTTCAGATCTAAAGTTCAGTTATGTTGCAAAACGCACGTTGTTGGTTTATGATGATGTTACATCAGTACCTTCCCACCTCTTCTTCCTACAACCCAAAACCTCAAAAGGGAATTAAGATAGGCTGTACCTACGAAAAACCCACATGACAGTTGGTTACCTTAGTAAGTGAATAGAGGTCGGCATGTGTCGGCGCTGTGGAGGGGTAAAGAAAGAGCTGGCTGCAGGCCTGCGCTTTAGGAGCTCACAGAGACGGTGCTCACGTAAACAGTGGTGTGAAGAAGGTAGTGCTAAATGCTCAGAGGGGCATATGGGGGTGTGCGGCTCGGGGGCGGGACGCAGCCTTGCGGGAGGTCTTGGGGTTGGGGCAGACTTCGTGAAGGGGGGGACCTGAAAGCACAGGCTGAGAAACGGGGGAGCCGAGGCGTACGCAGGGCATCAGGCTGCTGGCCCCCTTCTCCCCAAAATTAACATCACGTGTACGTGTTAGTTTTGTTTGTTTGTTTGTTTTTAAAGAAACATGTTCCAGGGCTTCAGGCATTTTCAGAATAATCTATAAAATGAATGTAAGGCTTTTCCATTAAAAATATTTTACTTACAAAATATAATAGAAATAATAGTGATATGTGACTATTATCACAAAGTTATAAATTACTAAAACGTTTTGGTGTAAAAATTCTATATAATACAATCAGTAGTAATACTTGACTCACTATCGTCATTCATTATAAGGTTTTCCTGGCTCGCTTTTCTGCACATGCATTTGTTTAGGTCATCAAAATGTGTACGTCAATCAACATAATTGAAAGCAGCATTAGTCACTCCTGGCAAATGCAAGCTGACAAATAATTTTTGATAACTTTTTTATTTGGGGAAAGCTCTTTGTGCACATTGAAGCTGTTACTGGAGCTTTATAGGTTATAACAACATTGAGATAAATTTGTAATAAACCGTAAAAATATAAATTTTGGGTTGTTTGGCCTGAGGTGATCCAGCACTGGAGGCTACAGGCTCTTTCTTGAGGCTAATGGCAGACTCTGGGAGGGCTCACGCCAAGGAGTACTTCCCAGAACGTTTGCTGCCAGAGTCCTTGTCCCTGCAGTGAGCCACAGCCACCCCCCACCTCTGCAGGAGACCCCCCCCCAACACTATCCAGCCGTGGGGCTGACAGGGTCTCGGTGCTCTGGCCAGGTGTCAGGCCTGAGCCTCTGAGGTGGGAGAGCCGAGTTCAGGACATTGGACCACCAGAGACCTCCCAGCTCCATGTAATATCAATGGATGAGAGCTCTCCCAGAGATCTCCATCTCAACGCTAAGACACAGCTCCACTCAACAACCAGCAAGCTACAGTGCTGGATACCCTATGCCAAACAACTAGCAAGACAGGAATACAACCCCAGCCATTAGCACAGAGGCTGCCTAAAATCATACTAAGTTCACAGACACCCCAAAACACACCACCAGATGTGGACCTGCCCACCAGAAACACAAGATCCAGCCTTATCCACCAGAACACAGGCACCAGTTCCCTCCACCAGGAAGCCTACACAACCCACTGAACCAAACTTACCCACTGGGGACAGACACCAAAAACTACAGAAACTACGAACCTGCAGCCTGCGAAAAGGAGACACCAAACACAGTAAGTGAAGCAAAATGAGAAGACAGAGAGACACACAGCAGATGAAGGAGCAAAGTAAAAACCCACCAGACCAAACAAATGAAGAGGAAATAGGCAGTCTACCTAAAAAAGAATTCAGAGTAATGATAGTAAAGATGGTCCAAAATCTTGGAAATAGAATGGAGAAAATGCAAGAAATGTTTAACAAGGACCTAGAAGAACTAAAGAGCAAACAAACAATGATGAACAACACAATAAATGAAATTAAAAATTCTCTAGAAAATAATCAATAGCAGAATAACTGAGGCAGAAGAACGGATAAGGGACCTGGAAGATAAAATAGTGGAAATAACTACCACAGAGCAGAAAAAAGAAAAAAGATTGAGAAGAATTGAGGACAGTCTCAGAGACCTCTGCGACAACATTAAACGCACCAACATTTGAATTATAGGGGTCCCAGAAGAAGAAGAGAAAAAGAAAGGGACTGAGAAAATATTTGAAGACATTATAGTTGAAAACTTCCCTAATATGGGAAAGGAAATAGTCAATCAAGTCCAGGAAGCACAGAGAGTCCCATACAGGATAAATCCAAGGAGAAACATGCCAAGACACATATTAATCAAACTGTCAAAAATTAAGTACAAAGAAAAAATACTGAAAACAGCAAGGGAAAAACAACAAATACACAAGGGAATCCCCATAAGGTTAACAGCTGATCTTTCAGCAGAAACTCTACAAGTCAGAAGGGAGTGGCAGGACATACTTAAAGTGATGAAAGGGAAGAACCTACAACCAAGATTACTCTACCCAGCAAAGGTCTCATTTATTTGATGGAGAAAATAAAACCTTTACAGACGAGCAAAAGCTAAGAGAATTCAGCACCACCAAACCAGCTTTACAACAAATGCTAAAGGAACTTCCCTAGGCAGGAAACACAAGACAAGGAAAAGACCTACAATAACAAACCCAAAACAATTAAGAAAATGGTAATAGGAACACACACATCGATAACTAACTTAAATGTAAATGGATTAAATGCTCCAACCAAAACACTGTCAGAATGGAAACAAAAACAAGACCTGTATACGTGCTGTCTATGAGAGACTCACTTCAGACCTAGGGACACATGCAGACTGAAAGTGAGGGGATGGAAAAAGATATTCCATGCATATGGAAATCAGTAGAAAGCTGGAGTAGCAATTCTCATATCAGACAAAATAGACTTTAAAACAAAGACTATTACAAGAGACAAAGAAGGACACTACATAATGATCAAGGGATCAATCCAAGAAGAAGATATAACAATTGTAAATATTTATGCACCCAACATAGAAGCACCTCAATACATAAGGCTAATGCCAACAGCCATAAAAGGGGAAATCAGCAGTAACACAATCATAGTAGGGGACTTTATCACACCAATTTCACCAATGGACAGATCATCCAAAATGAAAATGAATAAGGAAACACAAGCTTTAAATGATACATTAAACAAGATGGGGACTTAATTGATGTTTATAGGACATTCCATCCAAAAACAACAGAATACACTTTCTTCTCAAGTGCTCATGGAATATTCTCCAGGATAGATCATATCCTGGGTCACAAATCAAGCCTTCATAAATTTAAGAAAATCGAAATCGTATCAAGCATCTTTTCCAACCACAACGCTATGAGATTAGAAATCAATTACAGGGAAAAAGACGTAAAAACCACAAATACATGGAGGCTAAATGATATGTTACTAAATAACCAAGAGATCACTGAAGAAATCAAAGAGGAAATCAAAAAATACCTAGAGAAAAATGACAATGAAAACACGACAATCCAAAACCTATGGGATGCAGCAAAAGCAGGTCTAAGGAAGTTTATAGCAATACAATCCTACCTCAAGAAACAAGAAAAATCTCAAATAAACAATCTAACATTACACCTAAAGCAATTAGAGAAAGAAGAACAAAACCCCCAAAGTTACCAGAAGGAAAGAAATCATAAAGATCAGAGCAGAAATAAATGAAAAAAGTGAAGGAAACGATAGCAAAGATCAATAAAACTAAAAGCTGGTTCTTTGAGACGATAAACAAAATTGATAAACCATTAGCCAGACTCATCAAGAAAAAGAGGGAGAAGACTCGAATCAACAGAATTAGAAATGAAAAAGGAGAAATAACAACTGGCACTGCAGAAATACAAAGGATCCTGAGAGACTACTAAAAACACCTATGTGCCAGTAAAAGGGACAACCTGGAAGAATGGACACATTCTAAGAAAAGCACAACCTTCTGACACTGAACCAGGAAGAAATAGAAAATATAAACAGACCAATCACAAGCACTGAAATTGAAACTGTGATTAAAAATCTTCCAATGGACAAAAGCCCAGGACCAGATGGCTTCACAGGTGAATTCTATCAAACATTTAGAGAAGAGCCAACACCCATCCTTCTCAAACTCTTCCAAACTATAGCAGAGGGAGGAACACTCCCAAACGCATTCAACGAGGCCACCATCACCCTGATACCAAAACCAGACAAAGATACTACAAAAAAAGAAAATTACACACCAATATCACTGATGAACATAGATGCAAAAATCCTCAGCAAAATACTAGCAAACAGAATCCAACAGCACACTAAAAGGATCATACACCATGGTCAAGTGGTGTTTATCCCAGGAATGCAAGGATCCTTCAGTATATGCAAGTGAGTCAGTGTGATAAACCATATTAACAGATGGAAGGAGAAAAACCATATGATCATCTCAATAGATGCAGGGAAAGCTTTCGACAAAATTCAACACCGATTTATGATAAAAACCCTCCAGAAAGTAGGCATAGAGGGAACTTTCCTCAACATAATAAAGGCCATATATGACAAACCCACAGCCAACATCGTCCTCAATGGTGAAAAACTGAAACCATTTCCACTAAGATCAGGAACAAGACAAGGTTGCCCACTCT